TAAATACAGAATAGTTTCTCTGGTGTGAGAAACTGAAAGTGTAAATAAGGACTAAAAGGTATAATAGATAATGTGAAATAGGAAGAAAAGGTTTAAAGGGGAAGGGGGAGGGGAAAGGAAAGAAGGGAAAGGAAAAAATATGAGAAAAGAAAAAAATGGAAACAAAGTCTTTGTGAATAGGGAGGGGTGGAAGGGTTGAAGGGAGGGCAGGGGAATGGGGAAAAAATAAGAACCAAGGTATATCATGTAAAGGTACAAATTTCCAATGATGAATGTCATCGTATTGTATACCTAAAATGTACCAATAAACTTAATGAATTAAAAAAAACCAAAAAATAAAAATAAATGGTGCTGGAAAAACGGGCTTTCCATATGCCCGTTAAAACTAGAGCTATTATCTTTCACCATGCACTAACCTAAAATTGAAATATTAAAACAGAAACACTAAATCTGCTGGAAGAGAGAATAGGTAGAAAGATTGAGGACATAGGAGTAGTCAAAGACTTCATGAACAAAACCCAGAATGCACGGGAAATACTACAAAGAATCAACTACTGGGACCTCATCCTAGTAAAAGGCTTTTGTACAGCAAGAGAAAGTACCAACAGAGTGAAAAGATAACCCACAGTGGGAAAATATTTTTACCACCTATTCATCGGACAAAGGACTAATATCTAGACTATACAAACTCAAACAATCAGACCCCTCCTCCAAATTTAAAGACCCAGTCCAAAAATGGGCATCTGAAATGAAAAGACACTTCTCAGATGAAGAAGTAGAAAGAGCAAATAAATATATGAAAAAATGTTCAGAGTGGAAAAATGAAATTTCTAGCTACAAGTGAAATCTCTAACTATAATAGAAATCTTTCCTTTTCTCAATTGTGCTATCTTTTGCTTTAAGCAAAACTACTCTGCTATATATATATATTTGTTTATAATTGTTACTCTTGATATAATTATTATATTAGTTGTTTTGATTACAAAATATTCCTTTTTGTATCTAATCATATTTCTCTTAAAATCTTTTTTCTAAGTTAAAAAAAACAACTACGGCATTGAGATGTATATGAAAGACAGTTGTGTAAGTGAGACTGCAGTGGCCAATGTAGGCCATATGAGTCAATGGGAAGCCATGAAAGGGCTTGAGGCAGAAAAGTGAGTGTGGTAATTGTTGTATGTCTCATTAAGACATATGTAATATTTCGTCTTTGTTCCAAGTTTCTGGTATTGGGCTCATAACACCCTTGGAGTTTCTTGAATGAAAGGAGTAAGAGGAGCATCATCTGTGAGACACAAGCTCTTGTCAGCCATACCTGAGCTTATGGTTGCAAAAGTGATTCAGAGGATAGGGGCTGGTTGCCAGAAGAACCAACCATGCAACGAGGGGGGTGAAACCACCCACCATTCCTACCCCAGCTACCGCAAACTTGGGCTAGGGACTGCATAGATTAGCAGTTGCCGATGATTTATCCAATCACCCTATCTAATGAAGCCCCCATAAAAACCCTACACCAAAGAATTTGCTGAGATTCCATGCTGATGAATACAAAGAGGTGGTGAAAGAGTGATGGGACCTTAGAGGTCATAGATACTCTACGCCTCTCCCCATACTTTGCCCTCGTATCTCTTCCATCTGGTGGTTTCCAAGTTGCACCCTTTATAATAAACCTGTAAGAGTAAACAAAGTGCTCCCGAGTTCTCTAACCCACTGCAGGTGAGTTTGCCCTATATGAATTATGGAAAGAAGTGTTACAGATATGGGATTTTTTCAGATTTTGGAACACCTGCATAGACTTTACCAGTTTAAGATCTCTAATCCAAAAATCCAAAATTAAAATGCTCCAAAATTCAAAACTTTTTGAGCATCGTGTTCAACCTGCATTGCAAATTAGTAAACCTGAGAAAGGGTTTGTGGGAACTCCAAATGCATAATTGGTCAGTGAGAAGTGCAGGTGGCAACCTGGGACACTGGACTGCCACGGAAAGAGGGGGCTGTCTCATAGGACTGAGCCTTTAACCTATAGGCTCTGACAGCAACTGCAGGTAAACAGTGTGAGAACTGAACTGAATTGCTGGGACATTCTGTTGGTGTCTGCAGAGAACTGAATTCCTTTGGTGAGGAGAAAATCTCCACACATTCGATGTCAGTATTGAAAATGAAGAGAAAATGCATTTCCATTCATGATAATTAATCATTTTAGTATTTAAAAAAATTACTCTGTCTGTACTAAGGTATGGCCTGGTACAGATAAAAAGCATTTACACAAAGTCCATTTAGGAAGCTACTGCACCAGACCATAGATCAATGGCAGTGCCACCATGGTAGAGAAGGATCAAAAGAAGTAAACAGTATCGAATTGTTGAGATTCAGTGCACAGAGGCACCCCCCTCCCAAGATCACTGAGACTATTTTTCTACAGGATACTTCAGGGACTCACTCTCTATCCCCACAAGTATATGCTTCTTCAACTGCACCCAACTACCCTGCTACCCCTAAATACTACTTTCCTATTTTCTAAGCCACCTCAGAATATCTTCTGAGATTGCTGCTCTATGATCAGTAAAAACTACCATACATCTGATATTCTGATATCTTTATGTGACATTCCATCGACCTCCTTGCCTCACCAAAAGACCTCAATGCCCTGGTGGACAATCACTTCTCCAACAACCCTCACATACTTCCTATGATCAGCTGCCATTTCTAGAACATTATTTCTTCCAGTCCATGGAAAAACTTCTATTAACCCCGAGGCTCATTTTATCTGCCTATAAAGTCATCTCCAATGCCTTTTCATCTGCCAACATCCTTGCCACAATCCAATATTCACCACGGGGTTTACATTACTTGATTCACAACTGTTTCAACCCTAACTTAGATTGTTCACGTGGATGGCCCATGCAATTATCCTCACTATAGTCATATCCTGAAATCTACTCTTCAGCTGCACCACATTCAAAATCATCAGCTCAAAGAACAATGCATTCCAGCGCAACCGCCATCCTTTCTGCTCACTTCCAACATCCCTTCACTAGCCAACACTGACACCTTCAATTTAGCATGTGGGACATTCATTCTACAAGTTAGCTACCTAGACTCTCCTAAAATGGTAGTGAAATAAAATACAAAAAAGAACAAGAAAATAAATAGCCAAAAGTACTGCATAAACTTTGGACCACAGATAGGGTTAAAAAACAGATAAAAATGATATTTCAAAGGACAACTGGAGGACTAGTATATAAACAATACCACAGGTGATATTATTAGACAGCTAATTGTCTTTGGTGTGCTAATGGTATCATGGTTTTGTGGGAACATACTCAACCTTAAGATATATGGTGAACTATTTAGGAGATGTCATGATATTTGCAACTTTCTTCAAATGGATTAGAAAAAAAAACAGGAAGAATGGAAGGAAAAAAGGAGGAAGAGTAAGGTTATAGAAGAAGTAGGAAAGAAAAGGTATCATGGAGAAACAAAGCACATGTCAAAGAGTTTAACAACTGGTTAGTCCAGATAAAGTACTACACTATTCATTCAACTTTTCTATGGGTTTAAAAATACCTGAAATAAAAACATCTATGAAAAATATATCAAGAATAACTCTTTTTTTTCTTCCCTATTAAGTTTATTGGTACATTTTAGGTATAAAATACAGTTACATACATCATTGGGATCTTGTACCATTACATGAGTATCTTGGTTCTTATTTTTTTCCCCTTCCCCTGCCCTCCCTTCCCTATTTGCAAAGACTTTGTTTGCATTGTTTTCTTTACCCTTCTTTCCTTTCCCCTACCCCTCCCACTTCCCCTGCTCCTTTAGACCTTTATTTCCCATTACACAATATCAATTATACATTTAAGAAAAACTTGTTGATAAACACCTTGAGCTAAAAACAAAATTCGGGGTTGGGAATGATGGTACCTGCCTGTAGCCCCATCTTGTTGTGAGGCTGAAGCAGAAGGATCACTTCAGCCCAGGAATTAAAGCCCAGCCAGGACAACATAATATCTCCAAAAGAAAGAAAAACATGACATGTATACATTCCTCCCTTTTTTTTTTTGGTACCGGGGATCGAACTCGGGTCCTTAGCTTGCAAGGCAGGCAGTGGAACCACTGAGCTAAATCCCCGGCCCATTCCTGCCTTTCTTTGTGCTCATCCCAACATAATGAGAAATGTTTTAAGACAGTAGGCAGTTTAACTAGTATGAAAATATACTAAACATTACCCTGAAAATTGCTCTTCTACATAAACATTATGTATGGACATACCTTCAAGTCACAGCTGCATAGTACTTTATAATAAAAATGTATTGTAATTTACTCAAATCTGTGCACTTAGTGCACATTGGGGCTACTTGGTATTTGGGCTACTGCAAACAATGCTGCTGCAAACCTCCTCTAGATCATCACCTCACAATTCAGTGTTTCAACGCTATAGGAAAGAGTCCTGAATGTTGAGCAGCTGGGTGAAAATATACGTACTTTATTTTAACCTATGCTGCCAGACCATTTCCCCAACTATAGCAAAGCACACTCCAAAGATGCCTGAATGTGCCCATCCCCATTACTTCACCTACTCAGCAGTAAGCCACCAGTCTTTTGAAAAATGCTGCCACTCTGGGATATCATTTGACAGCAGCACAAAGTGAGATACTCTGAATAGAGTCACTATGAGTCCTAAAGCAGTCCTCACATTACTTTCAAAGGATCAAAGGGAAATGTGAGAAAAGAAAGATATACCAACCCCTCCTTAAATTCCCACTCTTGAAGTTAGTGTACTTACCTGTTAATATGTTTTCTTACACCTAGTAGAAACTACCTGCAATTAGGGACAGCACACTCATTCATTCAAAAAATACTTACTTATACTAAATAAACACTCTCTCTGCCCCGATATATATGGAGATATATATCACCTACCATGTGCCAGACACTATTAAGCACCACTAACATGCACTTAAGCAAGATAAGCACCATCAGTGCCCTCATCCTCCTAATATTCTTATGAAATAATCCAACATTTAGCCATGAATTACACAATCAACACTTTACTTTCCATGACAGTAAATGCTTTGGAGAAGTGGGGGACAGGTTGCAAGGAGAGCACATAACCCCAGCACACGGGACTGGGAATGACATAAGATGGGCTTTTAATACTGTTTACGGTTTAAAACATTTCACGTCACCAACTGATTGATACTGATTTCTGACATTCGATTTTTAAATATGTGCTTTCATAATTGTGATGAGAGAAAGAGAAAAAATGGAGACTTGGGGCCAGGGATTTAGCTCAGTGGTTCCACCACCTGCCTCGCAAGCGCAAGGACCTGAGTTTGATCCCCAGAACCAAAAACAAACAAAAAAAACAACAAAAAAAAATGGGGACTAAAGTTATTAGGCCCCTCCATTTTAAAAGGCGGAATATGAGACTCACAGAAACAAAGTAATAGGACAAAAATCGCAAAGGAACTAAGTGGCATCAGGACAAGATGTGGGCCGAGGTCTGTCTGATTCTTTCTATTACCTTACAATGGCTCAAAGGCAGAAATTTCAAAGTAAGCCTGGATCTATCTGTTTAAGGAAATACGTTTTTAAATGTGATACATGTAAAGTTAAGACAAAGGCATCCTTCTTGGTATTTAAGTCAATTTTTTAAAAATGCGACTGTTGAACCTAAAGTGTAGTAAGTAGTATAAGTAAATTGATGGAAAATATGTTTATTTAAGTATAAAATGTTGTATCATAGTGTATTCTGTAAATGCAAAAGAATATTCCTTTCAGATGGGGATTTAGCTCAGTAGTTCCAGCGCCAGCCTTGCAAGCGCAAGGTCCCGAGTTCAATCCCCAGTACCAAAACCAAAAATAACAAAACAAAAGAATATTCCTTTCAGAATCCAACTAAAGAGAATAACTTTTAGTTGGGATTAACACTCCTCTAATATTTTGATAAACTGCCAAATTCCATTCCACTATGTTGTATTACATAAAAGATTAATGGAGATGTGGTTTGACAAAATATTCTTACATACACTCTTCTGAATTCAAGATTTTATCATTGATGCTTACTGCAGTAAAACCTAAATTAACCAAGATTTAATAATTCAACAGCCACAATAAAAAAATTTCAAAAAAAAAGGAGGGAAACCCCAGTATGATACTGTTACAATACATTAAAGTTTTCCAGTAACAGACATCTAAAACAACTTATTTATGTCTATGTGCACACAGTTACACACACTCAAATTACACAGGTGTTCCAAACATGCATTACTATCATTACGGGGAGTAATATTTCTCCAAAAAAAAAATATATCCTTTCAAAGCTGAATCTATGGACAAAACATGTATTTTCCAGTTAAAATAGTAGAACAGAGTAAAGTTATAAAGCTAAGAAATACTCCATAATCACAGCTACAAAGGAAATAGAGAATGCACTGGAAAGAATCTGAAGGAGACTTTGTACATTTTTAGTTGTTTTGGATATGAATGTTACCTTCTTTGTTTTAAATATGTATGGGTTCACTTCAAACTTGACTGTTTTCCTTTAGTTAAAAGGGATGAAACACTAGCACAGGAGATTAGAATCACATCATCATTTGTTAGTTAACAAATGGGAAGAAAAGAGGCTGATGCAAAAAAGGAAAGAAGGGAAGAAATATCTACTAATCTAATAAGGAAGAGAAAAGATCAGGGAAAGTATGCACCACATAATTTAATTGTCATTAGATGAAAATGAGCAGGAAAAGGTAGATGTGTAAAATAACAAGCCACTAAATGCCTCTGGGATGCTGCTGTATGGTTGTACAAACTGTTCACTGCACAAAGGCACTCAAAGGGCCAAAGCAAGGGTCTGGCACGCTCCAGTACTAAGCAGGGCTTCCTGTCTCAAGGTGGGATGTGCCCTGAGAACAGAGTCACCCCGTCCCTCTACCCAACAAAGCTCAGATCACTGGACAAGCCTCAGGACCGAACTGAAAGGGAGACCTTTTGAAACTCTCAAAGGATTTCAGGGAGATGGTGCAGTCACAGCCCCTCACCGTTCTACCTTTCAGCCGCCAAACCTAGTTCCCAGCCCTACCACGATAGTCAGTGTAACTTGAGAAAAGAGAAAAACCATAAAGTAGCCAGCTTTTTCTGCAGAATGTTCTTAGACACTCACTATTAATTCAAAATTAAAAGTGAACTTATATTTTACTCTTTAAATTTGATGTTGGTGATAATTCATATTGAGTGAAAGTAACCTTTGCATTACTATTGGAAAGTTGCTAATACAATTTAGAATGATCTACTCCTGAAAGGGGGCACATATGATTTTTCTTTAATTATTTAAATGTAACGGCTGCTCCTATTTCACTTATCACTACATACTCTAAAGCCTTGTGGGACCACATTTTGTTAGGCGTTACAACTGTCAGATATGTACATGGGGAAACAAAATTGCATTTCCTAGAAAATAGCCTACATCTTACTCTAACCAGAAGCAAATAGCCATTCTCTCTACTCCCCAATTTAGTTGATGTACATTACTATGTTTTATATACCCACACACAACTTGCCTACTTTAAACAAACAAAAAGCCCCATAGACAAAAATATAGCAAACTTGTTATCAAAATGCATTAGCTAATGGTTCTTTATTCTAAAGTCTCTCATTTTACATATAATACATAACTACAAAATACTACATGTTCATTTAGGAAAGATTATACATCGTAAGTTTAATTAAATAGCTTAAGATATACAGGCAAAGAACAGGACTGCTAAAGAAAATGAAACACCTATACTTAGTATATCAGTTTAAGCTTTTCTAATTTCTATTTAAATACATAGTAAGCAACTGTTTCACACAGTTCTGTAAGTAGTAAAATTTAAAAATGTTTTCTAGAACTGAATACCATACACGATAACAGGACCACAAATGTTTGGAGTTTACCTCGGATAACATAATTATCCAGTGCAGCTTCCATTCTCTTCAGTGCTTCAGTTCTATCAGAGCCATATGTGATTAACTAAAAGTAAACAAAAAATATTTCAGCTATCAGTTAAATGATATAGTAAAAACTAAATACTTCACAACAGATTCCACAAGATAAATTCTGAAATTTCATACTGGTTTGGTTTTTAATATAAAATATGTCAATTGTGATATTTTTGGGTAAATGAATATTAAAACCATGCTATTTCAGACTTTTCTCTTACATTTCATTATCATAGTAAAGAGCTATTTGAAAAAAATAAAATTGTACCAAAAATAAGCACAGTTTTAAGGAGATACATGAGAAAGTTTTGAGATAGGATATAAATGTCCGGGAGAGTGATAGGATTAGGAAAGACTTTATTCCCCTATTTTCTGTGGTTTCCAAGTTTTATACCCCAAACAGCTACCATTTTCATAACTGACTAAAAAGTAGATAAACATTTAAATATGAAAGTGAACAGAATAAAAGGCTATTTTTTTGGTACCAGGGATCGAACTCAGGTCCTTAGCTTGCGAGGCAGACAGTGGAACCACTGATAAAAGGCTATTTTAAGAATAGGTTTTAGACATAATACACCTCAGAAGTAAAGGGTATTAGTATTAGAAAAACAAAAAGGGCTTATTGTTGTATATAATGTTGTGCCTATTTATATGTATCTCATATAGATTAACAAATAACAGCTTAACTATTCATTAACAATTTTTCGAGTATTTTGTTGGTCCATCTATAGATTGTAATTCTTTTAGCAAATTTTATAATCCCTTCAATATTAAATCAGTTTGAAAATTAATTTATAGTCTATTTTTGTGAACAGAAATATATTCATCTAAAAATGGAATCATGGACACCTAATCACTATATTTTATGCATTTTGCTTTTAAATTAAACAGTGTTTTTCTAACAAGCAAAAAGACTTAAGGTTTATTTTAACAATATTAGTGTGAAAAAGGAAGGATATAAAAATAATTTGTTTACTGCAACCATAACTACATTAAAAAGTATAGCTAGGGGAAAAACCATCTTGAGAAACAGAGTTTAATGAAGAAATCATTCCTCAATATAGAGGTAACATTTCAATGAACACAGGATTTTCAAATGAAATCCATAGTTTTAAACTACTGCAATAATTTAGTCTTAAGATTGTAAAGATTGAAAATTTTAAATAGAGCTATTTATTTCATCTGGAAAGTTAAACTTGGAAAAGTTGGGAAATTACATCTTATACTCTTATATGAAACTTAATTGGACTGGGGTTACAGCTCAGTGGTAAAGTACTTGCCTAACATATACAAAGCCTTAGGTTTGATCCCAACACCTCAGGGAAAAAAAACTTAGTTATGTCTAATCTATTTAATAGTAATTTGTGAATTTATAATTAGCACTTTGTAAATTGAGAAGGTCAGAACTATTCTAACAAACACTACCCAACTTCGTAGTACCACCTGCCACTGATACTTTCACCTTAAGCAGTTTTCAGGAATGGCCAAAAAAGCAACTTTATTCCTCTCATTGCAATAAATGGAGTTGTTGCCATTGGTAAGGTAATGGTGTGTGTATGTGTGTGTGTAGGTCTATGCATATGCATGTGCTCAAGCACACTGGTGATGGTAGAGGTATGATTTGATTGGGGAGTAGAGTATTACAAAATAATGTGAACTTAAAGTTTCTCAAGAGAAAAATTCTGCTTTCACTTTTCTACCAGTGCATAATTATTTGTTTAATAATAGAACATGATTCAGAAAAAGGCTCAAATATGTGCATTATTTGTTCAGAAGAAAACCAAAAGAAACCATTAAGAACTAAAACTAACTTTGGAAATCATAGGATCATAATAAATGCTGATGTCACTTCCTGGCTGGATGCCACTGTCAACACGGACCTGGGGAGAGAGAATGAAAAAATAAATAAATAAAAGTACTTCATATTGGACAGACTTTTTAAACCATAAATTTAATTTCCATGGAGTAAAGGGATGGAGTTTCACTCTCAAATAACATTCCAGACTTTTGGAAAATAGAAAAATAACCTAAAAATACATCAATTGAGTTTGATCTGTTAATACACACTATAACTTTTTGTTATTGTTGTTCTCACACTAAACAAGGAAGAACAAGGAACAGAAGAGGGAAGGAAAGTGGGAAGGGAAGAGAGAAAGAAAGGGGAAAGAAATGAAGAAAGAAAGGGAGGGAAGGAGGAAGGGACAACAAAGTCTCTGTATATTGCTAGGTCAGGGTACGTCTGGGGTCTTTCTGCCAACAAGTAGCTGGGATGATGCCCCTCTGGAAGGCCCTTCCCACTGGACCTCTGAGGACGCCAGGCAGGCCCTGGCCAAGCCCACCCCTAAGCACCATAGGCACCAGGCCCAGCCTTTCAAGTCTGCAACACTTTCCTTTTTTGCCTCACCCTCTCAACTACAAAATGGTATTTTTCTGTTTCTATTAGTTCCCTGAGGCATTAATGTTTACACAGCTTTTCTCATGCCTTTGCTTTGTAAGGACACAGCCCCAATCAGAGTTCTGATTTGGCGATTTTTACAGGGTGGGGGGAATCAGCACAAGTTCAAAATATCTTTTGAAGAGTTTGATTTCTGTTAACCAACCAACAAGTTACTTAGGCCATCACTGATTCTTGTTTTCATCTCCCAGCTTGACATCAGCAGTAAGGCACAGAGGTTAGCCATGTAAAACTTTTTAAATGAGCAGTTTGCTGAGGACAGAATATTTATTAATTATTGTGACTAAGTTTTGGAACTTGAAATATTTAAAAGCTAATCAAAATACTTAAAGAGTGTCAAGCACATCTCGGGGTCTTGAGGACAAAGGAATTCAATCGAAGCTGCTAGAACAGCAGGACTTTGATGCCCAACATTGTAAAGGGGTAGGAAGAGAGGAGCAGAAATGTGTGTAGCCCATCACCTGTGGGAAGAAGCCTTCCTAATAAACAGCAGCTCATCTGTCTGTGGCAAGGCAGACAAAGGTCAACACAGCGGCTGTTAGGCCTTTAATATTTTAATTTAGGCAATTATCAAGGGGCCACATGAGAACCTCTTGTCTACCATATCCACATGAGGGTATGATGATGGCTTCATTACACGGTGACATCAAAAGATAAGCCATGATCTCATTCTCTTTTAAAAATCATTCACTATCATTCTCTTAGTAAGGTTTTAAAACATAACATTATAACATACCCAGAGGGCTTTTCTTTCTGTATCTGCAAACACAAAAATATGGATATTTGTATTCACATTCATATATGAAAATGTTAACTTTAAATGAAGACCATTCAGCATAGTTACAAAATACAGTTGGCCTTCCATTTTCTTAAAACATACTTTGAGGCATAAACTAAGTTATATGAAATTCAGTGTTGATAAAAACTTAAAAAGAATTAATAAGGCAACTTTGAGGGCAATAAAATCACAATCCAACTTCTCCTTACATTTTTTTTTTTTTAGTTCTTTTATTGGTACATTTTAGGTATACAATTCGTTTACATTTATCATTGGGTGTTTGTACCTGTACATGATATATCTTGGTTCTTTTTTTTTTTTCCTTACATTTTAATGGCCTCAAAATGGCAAATGGCAACTAGGTAAAATAATAGAAAAGATACCTGTGCATTTTCATTTTCTTAGTTTTAGTAGCAAAGAGTTGAAGAGCTAATTCTAAAACCATGTCACCTTTAAAATCAAAGTATATTTGCTACAAGCTGTGCTTAAAATTAAGATACTGGCCTTAAATATATCTATCATTTGCTACATAAACTGCTACAAAGCTGGAAAGAAATTTCACTGTTCAGCCTACTGGTAAAGTAACACAGGCAATAAAGAATATTTATGACATCTCTTAGAGTTCATAACTTAAAATTTCAATTACCTTCAACATTACTATCCTAAAAGTTAAGTTACTGAGGGCTCCTAGATATAGCTATGTCTTTGATACTTACTAAAATTGTGAAAGCATATCATTTTAATTTAAAAACATACATGGTAAAATAAAAATGTTTTATATATAACACATGTAAGCAAATCAACATTTCCAATTTAAAACTGTAACAAAGCATGAAAGTCCTAATTTATAATTTACAGCTTACCCAGTTTTTCAAATAATCAGCTATATTTCTATTCTTATCAACCAATTAAAAGTCAAATCAATGCCCATTTTTCCAGGGAAACAAAAGCTATATAAATTATCATTAAATACCTTAAGAATAAAATCAACGGAACCCCAACCAAATCTTTGAACACAATAAAATTGTGATTTGAAAGTAAACTTACAAAATATGATGATCAAAAGTCAAAAAGAAAATCTTCATGTCTGCCATATCAATACATGTCAGGCTTAAAAATGCTTATGAAAACTATAAACTATACTTAACTCTGAAGTATCCAAGCATACTGATCTAGTTTTAATAAGGCAAGGAGGGACAACAAGCAACAACGACCACAAAATACCCAAGCACCTCTGTATGAGATTCTCAAACCACTGCTCACAAACCTCTAACATAATTAAAATTTCTTCCTTCAGTACCACAGCAGACCCTGGAAACTATCAGACATCTCCCACTCTTTATTCTCAATTCACCTCTCCCTTAAGCACAACTCCCAGCCCGCCATGTCTACCTGACAAGTGACAGCCCAATCTGATTAAATGCTTCCAAGGGAGGGGACTCGTGGGCCTCCATGACAGGCCAAAAGTGATCACCATGGAGATACATAATTACAGCTGTCAACGCATCTACTGTCCTGCTGACATCAATTTGATTGCTCCCAGCAATAATGATAGACAAAGCTTAGTGTGCACTCTCCTGCACCCAATCACTTTATCTATTCCTTGGTCCATTTAGCTGACATGCAACATTCACACAAGCAAATAACAGCAGTAAGCAGAACATTTAAGGCATTTTAATTGTTTTTTCTTTCTATGGATGGCTCACAACTGCAAATGTTATTACATAAAACTCCTGCTGCAGCATTAATTGAAGAAAGATTCGGTGGGACAAAGACTGCAGGGGGTAGAGTTTGTCCATTATCACTTGTACTTTCAACAGGTCTCACGTTTGAAAATTGCAAATTGCAAAAACTTGCGAGGGCAAAATGTTTGACATCCTGTTAGCTATTACAACATGGTGAAAACTTCTAACAACTAGAGTAATCATTATGAATTCTTATTTAATACTTTTTTGTTTGATTAAAAAAGTGTTTAGCTATGTCCCTATGATACTTGTTTTCTCATCTGCTATTTAACATCACATAATGCCTGTTAAATCTTTACAATTTTTTTTCTGCCTTCAGGCTTTGAACACAGCATGGAGTCTCCAAGCCCAGAAAGGGTCAAGTCCCTTTAGAAAGCACATGGACAAAAACAATTTAAAAAGTGAAATAAATCACATATCCAATAACATCTTCAAATTCAGAATTCTTCCTGTAATCTTTCACCATCTTCTTGCCAGTAATCAAATGGAATAATCATATTCACAGATGGTACAGCCTTGTCATCCACCAGCTAACATAATGTCATATATATATGTACTTATTACCTTGATTAAGAGAAAGGGTATGTCCTTGTTCTTTTTATGCAACAAAAATTATTTAAAGAGCAATTATTAAATATAGACAACTGTGAAATAAAATGGACAGTGGTCACTTTTTCTCAACTGATGCAAATAACAAGTATTTTTTAAATATTTCATAGAATGAGGCACATTTTGCTTCCCTTAATCCAATTCAATTAACAAGTTGATTTTTTGTTTTGAGTTTCCTGATCTCTGACTATACAGAGAAGTTAAGTTAGATTTACTGAAAAGTTTAAATTGAGACACATAAAAATAGTCATTTCCCATTCTTAGGATTCCATGATCTATTTCATGATGATTTTCAAGAGACTGATAACCTTGCAAACTATCATTTATGCAATCAGATGTTTCTGAGCTCCCCCTGTATAAGTGAATTCTAACTTTCTTGAACACTGTAAGTACCCAAAAGTTTTATTTATTTATTTGGTACCAGGAATTGAACTCAGGACCTTGTGTTTGCAAGGCAGGCATGATGTCACAGAGCTAAATCTCCCCCCCCCCCAAATTTTTTTAACTCAAAAACTTAATTCCCCATGAATTTCATTTGTCCTTCAGTATACACTCTTTGGGGTTGACTTACTTTAACATAAAAGTATAACACAAATCAAGACTTTAATCCCTAAAGTGATATTACAACTTAATGACTTACACCAGGTAGATGTATAGGTTCTTGGTATTGAGACAATCTCCCAACAGACGGTAAACCAAAAGACTTGTAGGGGTCCTGAAAGTTCAAAGGCAAGAAAGCACAGTCTTTGAAGTATAAATCAGCACAAGCAAGGTTAAATACAATGAAGAAGCATTTATAAGTCTAGTTTTAATATACAATATTTACCAAATCACAAATTTCAGAATATTGCTGCTGTCTTATCCTCTACACAACTTAGAAGTATATTTAAAAATCAAACAGAAATGCAAGCAGAGTTTAGCCTGACCTTGATCATACTTTATTGAAATTGGTAAAATTCCAACTTTTTATAAAACTTCTTAGAATGCCTAGGGCAAAAATAAAATAACCTAGGTTCTACATCAAAACATACTCAAGTTCAGAACAACAAATGTAGCTCACTAAAGATATTTGTTTTTCTTACTTCTCAAAACAGCTCACATATGGTAAAACTTGAGAATCTGGGTTCTTCAAATAAAGACCTAAAAAGAAACTCTGCACGTGCTTCTAGATATGTATTCCATTTGTAAATATCTTAGATCATCCAAATAATAATAAATAAGTTCATTATCCTAAGAAAGGCATACCACTCAACATGTGACAAAAAGCAAGAGCAATAATAAGCACAGCAAAATATATTTTTAAGCTACTTAAAAAAGATTTCAAAACAACTTTCAGGTTCTTAATCACACATACTACTAATATTTACATTGACAGACATTTTGTATGTCATAAAGTAAAAGTACAAATGTTATTCTGTGTTCTTGTTTTAATCATTTGAGAAAAGCATTTTCAGATGTTGAGTGTGCTATTGTATAATTTAGATAGTTATAAAAGTATAGAACTGACTTTATGAGTAAAACAATTAAGAATACATGTTTTATCAAAAGCTTTATAATTTATATTTCAGTTGTTACTTTCATATAATCATGAAGGACAAAATTAGAAAAAAAAATACCAACAACTAACATGGACCCAGGTTAGGCTCTTTTAACATTACTTCTTGCTGACGCCAGCCTGGAAACAAGCAAAAAACAAACAAAACAAAAACGATGATTCATTCACACTCAAGAATATTTATCTAATGCTTTGTTGACTCTTAATGGATTCGTAGTTGTTTCCCTATCCAAAAATACATGAAAATTAACTGAACTCAATTCTTTAAAATGAGTTAATTATGTTAAAATAATTTAAATTTTTTTCTGGTATAATTATAAATTGCATAATCAAATACTTGACACAAATATAAAACCCTAACTTTACCTGTTGTTTAGCTGCACCAGGTCTCCTGACTCTGGGCACAACAACCATCCTTCCTCCCAACATCATTCATTTACCTCAGCATAAACCCGACATTCCACTGCCCAGCCGTTGATGGGAATATCAGCTTGTGTGTGCCTCAGAGGGTAACCCTTAGCAACACGGATCATTTCTTGGACTAGGTCCAGGCCAGTAACGCATTCTGTGACAGGATGCTCAACCTGTAAGGCCAAGATCTGACAGTCAGTAGGTGAAGAAAAAGGTAAACAGAAACAAGAAAAATTTCAAATGTTTCTGGGTAAAATGAAGTCAATTACATTAAATATTTAATAATACTTAAAACCATCAGCAAGAGGGCTGGGGATTTAGCTCAGTGGTTTCGTCACCTGCCTCAAAAGCACAAGGTCACGAGTTTGATCCCCCGTACCAAAAAATATATATATAACGTGGTCCACAGATCACGGTAAGAAAAACTAACACCTAGGAAGTATTTATGGAGAATTTATATTATTTTTCCCAATTTTAAATTACTTGTGGTCCAAAAATGTTTAACAATTTTAATTTGAAACCGATTCTCAACAGAAAAACATATTTATTTTATTACAATTCTCAAAGTGGCCAATTATCAACCTATTGTACTACAATTAACATGGCATCTACCAGGGCAGCTTATGATTTTCCAGAGCACTAGTCTAGCCTAAGTCTTGCCCACTTGCATGCTTTCACTAACTTGTCCTGACAAGCAACCAGATTAGCGTACTCTTGCATCAATGCAGCTTAGCAGAAAGGAGCAGATGGATCCTGCAGGTTGCTTTCCCTCCAGACTGGCCTGGGTAGTGCTTAGCATGCACAATTACAAAACAGCATGTGAATCACTCTGCTCTTTCAGCAAACTGCTGATAACTATTTTGGCTGAAGCTGTCATGGGAGTTCTTGGCCTTGCATACTAACACATGGAATACAAATATACAAAAACATGCACTGACACATAGGCACATGAACAGGAATACATTCCATTATAAAATGACTGATCATTTCCAAATTCCTAAATTTGAGTGAAAATAAAGCCACTTATGGGGATGAAGATGTAGCTCAGTGGTAGAGCACTTGCCTAGTGTACAAGAGGCTCTGGGTTCAATTCCCAGCAACCCTTCTTCAAATAAAAAAGGCACTTATGGCACCAACGAAGTACAGACTCTGTTTGGTCTAAAACCTTGAATCAGTTTTTAAAATTAAAAAAAATTTTGGTCATATTTGCTACTTTGATACTAATTTTTTTCTTTGTGAAGATTATCTTCTAAATCCATTATCACAATAGTTTCTTTAACATGACATGTCATATTTCACACATGGACATAGGAAAAGGTCAGTGAGCAAACGAATTATCTTCCCATCTTCAGCTACACTAATTGAAGGACAGGACTTAGTCATTATAATAATCTTGAAGCTTATTATAAGTAGACAATGCCATGGTCTTTAAAAAAAAAAACCTTGGTAAAAATAAACAGATGGCATCCATAATTAGCTCTGTGTGTGTTATGAGTTTGTTTACAGTTTCAGCAACATTTTAAGACATTTTGACATAATTTTAATGACAAATCATTGCTAAAATAAGCATCTATCCTTTGTAAAATAAATGTGTCACTAAACAAAGATCTTATTAGGCAGTTTAAAATACATATTTTGAAAGTAAATTATGGTTTTTTGAGAAATAAGACTGTCTATGATAAATATAATTTAAAAGGAACAAGAATAAAGCCCCTCTATTAATGTTACAAACCAATTTCCTGGAAGAAAACATCTGAGCATACTATACAAGAGGTGAACCTACTATGTATCCAGTATCTTCTAACAACACAATTTTACATCCTTGCCGAGCAAGAAAACATTTTTAAAAGTTAACTGAATGATTCAATTTTGTCTTTCTATGGTCAATGCCCAGAAAAGTAAGTACTATATGTGAAGCAAGTAAATATACATGGAACAAATAAATGAATGAGTGAGCAACAAACCCAGCCACACCTATGGTGAGTGGCAGAGGTGGGGCTGGAATTTCTGTCTTTCTGGAGATGACATTGCTTTCCTGTCCTTCATGACGAAGTATGTACGAAGGCTTACAGTAGCTAGAAATGGCTATACATACAATTGCGTGCTGTTGTTTTAAAAACATGTCACTATGACAGTTGAAAGATCCCAATTTATTACAAGGATCTATTTTACCTTAGAAGACATTACTATACAGTAGCTGTGTAGAAAAACAAGTACATTGGACCCACTTTGGCTAGGATCCAAATATGGACCACTTTGTTCCAAAGTTAATGTTATATAACAGAAATAAAACACAACATCTTACAATCTAAATTAGTTCCAAGAAATTCAAAACAGAGGTGACTAAACTAACTAGCTTTTAAAGGTATCGATACTTACAGAATTTTTTAAAATTTATTCAGATATAGGTATTATCAAAGTCTACAAAATAGTTTCAAAATATCTAAATTTTTCAGATTAAAGAAATATATCTTCTTTAAGGTAAAACTTGTCATTTTAAACATTTTTGAAAGAAAGCTTTCTACAGACACAGAATCCTAAGGTATTCAATAAGATATGTGAAAGACTGCCTTAAGAATGAATTCACCATCATCATCATCATCATCATCATCATCAGGAATCTTAAAAGGATAAAATTGTTTAAATCGTCGCATATACCCAAGAATTTAGCAATAGCTCCTCTTTACAAGTTAAATTCAATAGCTAAGAGATCAAAACAGAAATAAGACAAAGGAAGAAAGTGGCTCCCAGGTCAAAGTATAGCTTAACAGAAGTTTTGAAAACATCTTTAGTAGGTAGGAAGAAAAAGCAAGAGAGGGAGAGAGGAGAGGAAAGGAGGAAAGGAAGGTAGAAGATGGTTAACTAAAACAAAGGTTATAGAAAAAAAAGGAAGTCAAAGACTCATGTCAGGTAAACCAAAGTTCATCTGGGTCCACCTCTAAGAAAAATGTTAACTGCAGCAGTCTGGTGCTATCAGCATCTGTTCTGAGGACGGTGTTGCTGGGGAAAGTAGCTGTCTCTGTGTCACTTTTTGGAGGAAACATTAAGTTAATCTAAGTTTAACAGGTTTCGTAAGAAAAACTCAGTTATTATAGCGTATCACGTGTCTTGTGGCTCTCTAAAATGAAGATTTTGCACACTTCTTTCTACCTTTGCAGAGTTATCTTTATGGGTTCAGAATTTCTTGGAAGATACTTTTATAAACAATGCCTTAAACCTTCCAAACAAAAAACTATACCCTGGTTGTGCTCCATTCTCATTAAGCAAATTTTTAAGAACCTGGCTTGAAGTTTTCCCTACCCAAGAGAAATGCACTTGTTCTAAAAAACACATGAATAAACGATTCACCAGATAGTATGTTTGCCTTGTAGATTAATATATTAATATTCAAGTATACAAATCTTGTGGTTTAGTCAGCAAAAATAGCCCTAATCAAATCTTTAAAAATTATACATATAAGAAAGGAGCAATATCAGGTGTGATGATGCTTGCCTTTAATCCCAGCACTCAAGGGGCTGAGGCAGGAGGATTACTGTGAGTTTGAGGCCAGTCTGGAATACATAGTGAGGCCCTGTCTCAAAAAAAAAAAAGCTAAAAGACAAGACAAGACAGAAGAAGTAAGTCCTACCAACTTAGCATTTTGAATCCTCAAAGACAAATTTTTGTTTGAAATATATTTGCCAAGGAATTGCCACACTCTGGGGTCTATTAGCAGTTAATATATCAGTTTGTACTGGTAATACCCCAGCTCATCATGAAAAAACTACAATCATCAGTGTATAGTTTTATATAGCCACATTAGATGGTCACAAATGGCTTTTTTTAAAAAAAAATGAATGAAGTTTATAAATGAAATTTTGTCTGAGCTTGGCATGGTGGCACACATCTATAGTTCTGGCTGCACAGGAGGATCCCTTGAGCCCGAAAGTTCAACTCTAGCCTAAGCTACATGTTGAGAGCCTGTCAATAAATACTCTCAGTTTTGTCTTTTTTTTTTTTTTACTTTTATTTCCATTTATTTTATGCCTAATTTATTCCCGTGCCGTAAGTTTTTGTTTCTTCAGTTTCTTCCGAGATATCTTTTTCTTCTGTGCAACTTCCTCCTCTGGTTTAGGAACAATTTGTTCTTTTTCAGTAAGGATCATCTCAATATGGCAGGGGGAGCTCATGTATGGGTTAATCTGGCCATGAGCTCTGTAAGTACGGCGGTGCATCTTGGGTGCTTTGTTCACCTGGATATGTTCAATGACCAGAGAATAGACATCTAAACCCTTAAGCTCAGCATTACTCTCTGCATTTTTAAGCATGTGCAGCAAAAATTCAGCACTCTTTTTGGGCCACCGGCCCTATGTCCAGCCCCACTGTTTGGCCTGGGCACACCTACCAACTCCACCATTGTAATGCCTGAATGGCACACATTGTTTCTTTAATGTGACATTCTTCAGATACTTGGTGGCCTTTCGGATATGCATACACTTGATGGCCTGGGCAGTTTCACGGGTGTTCTTAAAGTGAACATGAAGATTTGAGCCTCTTGATTTGCATGATTTTGTGGGGGTTTCTGGGTCAAGAAAGTATCGAACCATTTCCACTGGTCACCTCTGGCCACTTACAGGAAGAACAGTTTTGTCTTAACACTGTCAAGCTGTCATTACTATTATTGTCTCTAGACTTCCCTGCCACTCCCTCTTGTCTCTTACTATGAAATAGAGCTCCCAAAAAATAACTATGCATGTCAAATGCAACAGTGAGGGGAATTAGGTTTTGCTTCATTTGTGAGTGCTTAATTGACATGGTAATGAATCTAGAAAAAGTAAACCTTTCTGGCATGGTATTATCTACCTTCATGACTTTAAAAATTATGATCATAAATTCTGACACTGCACTGTCATCTTTAGCCTTTTGCCTTGCTGAATACAAACTAGGAAGTATGCCAAACCTAGTGAGTGGAAGTCTGATGAGATATTTAGAGTCTCAAAGTATCTCTCTATAGGATGGTTTATTAATGAAAAGGGGGAAAATAGTAACTGTACAGTAGAGAAATGGCAAAGACATCGTCGTAATCAAACCAACATTTTCAGTACCAGGATAAACAAACATTGGTGCCTCTAGCCTGGTGCTCACCGACACAGAGGAACCTCACTGCCGGAGTATCCTGTCCAAAAGGCAAAGA